GGGGTACGATTCCTGCTCAGGAGCGTTCTACATAAACCCTAGGCTCTACACCACGAAACCGAAAAAGGTCAACATGGGAGTTTCCGAAAATACGGGACCCTAAGAAAGTACCCTAAATAGTAGGATCCATATTATAAGGACCCCAAAGTATCGTATCCCCTAATTTTCGGAAACCCCCACATTGAAACGACCACAGCCAAGCCTCGAGCACTGACAGAAGTCCTTCCAGGAACTTCAGCTGCCGATCGCTCCAGACCTCCTGGGTTCTGACAAACCCAAAGGCTCCATGTGAGAGTTTCCGAAAATTAGGGGTACCTTATTTTGGGGTCCTTATAATGAGGATCCTACTATTTAAGGTACTATATTAGGGTCCCCTATTTTCGGAAACTCCCATGTAGCTATATAGTATATACTTAGGCCTTCAAGGGGTTCCCATATAGGAACTTTAAAGCCTAAGTGTATACTATATGGCTACATGGAGACTAAGGAAAGCCGAGGACAGAACTACTCGGTTTAGAGCTTATGGGGTTTAGGGCCTATCAAAGGTTAGGGTTCAGGGTTATTCCCATGAGGGTCAATATGGGAACGTAATACATATCTAGGCCCATTATGACTACTTAGTAGGAATGCCTTCAGGGCCCAAGTAGATACACATGGGTAAATGGTCCCGCCAGGCCACCGAGGGATCTGACAGGACGCAAAACCAAGTGAACATGCCGCTGATTCCATAAATTTGGACATAAGTACAACAACGACGACAACAACAACAACCCTAAACCCTAAACCCTAAACCCTAAACCCTAAACCCTAAACCACAACAAGAAGCAACACAAGGGTGCACATTATAGTGTAATTCGGAGGACGGACTCCTGAGCATGAGTATGCCCAGACCTTCCAAAACCCCCTAATTAAGGAATATACCTTAAATTATAGTAGGATCCTTAATATGATTTAAGGTATATTCCTTAATTACGGGGTTTTGGAAGGTCAGGGTGTATACTATTATGTACTACAAGAGATCCCAGGCTCTCCGCGGACTCGAGTTCCCTGCAGTTTTCGAACGAAGAGCCGCTTGCCAAGGACGCGAACTCGCAAGAGTCCGTGCCCCAGCTTGTCATCCCATAGATGCAGCATATTCAGCTTCGCCAAGTCTATGCCACCTTCATTTAGGCTTTTGGTTTTAGGGTTTAGGGTTTTAGGGTTTAGCGTTTTGGTTTTAGGGTTTTGGTTTTAGGGTTGGGTTTATTTTGCTTCGCCAAGTCTGTTCCACCTTCATTTAAGCTTGGGCTCCAGTTACCTAAATAGTAAGTTACTGGGGTATATAATATATGGGTGGTTGTCAAAATAATGGCTCCTCTAAATATTAGGTGCCGCATTCTATTAGGGACCCCCAAAAGGGACCATCATTTTGACAACCACCCATATGGCTAGTAACCTCCTACTGTTTAGGCAACCTAGGATACTCAGTAACCTAGGAATAAAAAGGCCTCTCTTTTTGGTATTGGGTCACTTTATAAGGAACCTAGGGCTAGAAAAAGGGAATAAGGGCACTACTGGGCCTCCTAGCCCCCAATTTTCGGAAACCCTAAACCCTTTATAGAACCCTTATAGATCCCTTTAAGGAGCCCTTATAGATCCCTTTAAAGGTACTACTGGGCATCCTAGGTAACTGCTCCACCTTCACGAACCCCTGGGCTCCAGTTACTTAAAAAAACTAAGTTCCTGGCGTGTTTTCTTCATGGCAAGTAACCTGCTATGTGGGAATTTCCGAAAATAGGGGAACCTAATATAGTACCCTAAATAGTAGGATCCTTATTATGAAACTCTCAAAATAAGGTACCCCTGATTTCGGAAACTTCCATGTAGGTAACTGCAGCCCTAGGGAAATCCATGACGTAGAATAATGCCCCGGGGCCATTGGGCTAGAAGTACACAACACAAAAAGGACCTTTAGGGCTTATAGGGTTTGGGGCTTTGGGTGTTTGGGGTTTTGGGTTCTTAAGATTTTGGGTTTAGGGTTTAGGGTTTTGGTTTTAAGGTTTTAGGGTTTGGGGTTTTTAGGGTTTGGGGTTTTTGGGGTTTAGGGCCTAGGGGTCTTGGGTTTTAGGGTGTAGGGTTTTAGGGGTAGCTACTTCGGGCTGTTTGGAGCCCCTGGGATGATTGCAATATGTCAACTCTGCTCTGGACCCCAATGACAGTAGGAGACGCCAGAAAGTTGGAACATGGGCTTAGGAGGATTATACTTTACCTTAAGGGCATGACGATAACGATGTTCAAATTTTCTGGCTACTACTGTAGGAGAAGCCTGCTTTTGGGACTGGGGAGCCTAGCAATGGCAAAGAGCCTAGCAAGGGTAAAACCCCATAGAGCCTAGGAAACCCCTGAAACGACCATATCCCTCCAGAGCTCAAAACCATATGCCCGAAACCACAAGCCCTCAAGCCCTAAACCCGAAATGCTGCTTCTACATGGATGGTTGTCAAAATTATGGCCCCTTCTTGGGGTACGCCGTACTATATTAGGGACCCCAAAAAGGGACCATGATTTTGACAGCCACCCACATGGAGTAGCACCTCCAAAGGGAACTCCAGAAAGTTGGAATATGGATTAATGGTGGGATCCCCTATCATTTACCTTAAGGGGTTACGATAATGATATTCCAACTTTCTGGCTCTACTGTATAGCACCTCCAAAGGGAGCCAGCTGCTTGCTAGCCATGGAGTCCAGTATCTGCGCCACGCGACGCGTCCGGTGAGGTTGACTAAGCAAAGCTTCCTCGGCTTCATTGCAGCTCAGGGGTTGAGGATACGGTACTTAAAGGATCATGGGACTTAGTAACTAGGGTTACAATTAGGGTAACTATACTTATAACCCAATTAAAATACCTATAACCTTACTTACTAAGTCCCATGATCCTCCAAGTACCCCCCCCTCAGAACCATAAGAAAAAGAGTGCTCTTCATATTCTCTTGGATTTCAAAGATGAACAACAGCAAATACTACTTCCTAAGGAGACTCTAGAAGACAGCTGCGCTGGGCTGAGCGGCTTAGGGGGTTTTAGGATGTAAGGGAGCGGGGGCTTAGGGTTTAGGGTTGAAGCTTGCCCCAAAAGGCTCTACGGACGCCTATCTGAAGGCTATTGAACCCCCAAACCCACAACCATGCTCTCTGAAAAACTGGTTGGGCCATTTGTGAAGTGTGGCTTAGTGCCTCAGATAGGGGCGTGAAGCAGTCCACTAGGGTTTTCTGTTGCCAGGCTATGGTATAGCCCTGTGTTAAGTAGTTGTGGTAACTTGCCTGTCCGCCTTCCCGAAGAAATTCAAGGGTATCCTCTTAGATGATATGAGGTAGCCAAAGAACTTGAGAGCTTGGTCTCGCGACGAACAAGCGCGCCCTAAGCCCGAAAGCGGGGAAACGCAAGAACTGGGAAAGGCTAAGTTGAGGCACAGCACAGAGCAGAAATGCGCTGCATAGCCCGAGACCCTGCATCTGAAACACCACATCTCAGCAAGTCTGAGTTTTAAATGTCACTCACGATTTAGGCCCAAGTGGCTAGAACTGTTGCAGCACTTGTCTCATCCGACACGGCCAGGCTTGCTGCCAAGAGCGCCGCAGGAAGCAGCACACCGTGAAGGAGATTCATTCCCTCCAGGTTCCCAGACTCACACCTAAAGACAACCTTAACCCCGAATAGCCTACCTGTTTAAGGTTCCTCACTACGATTTCCTTATGTAAGTCCCTAAAAAGGTAGGTTATTCCGGGTTAACGAAAGCCCTCCACCCCAAACCCTAAACCCTTAGAGATCAGGTTACCCTTCTCTACTGGCCGACCTAGCCCTACACGTCCCAATGTCTATGGAATGCTTTGAGACGCCCTTCAAAGCAGAACGCCGAAAACACGAGTACTTTTGGGGATCTAAATTCAGAACCTCAATTAAGTATTTCGACTAGTAATATGGGTTGAAAGAAGGCCGATTCTTCTGCCACTGGGACTCGAACCCTACAGCCTAAACTCTGCAATGAACCCTAAAGCCCCAACAAAAACCTAAAGCCCAAACCCGTTGTATCTACCAGGGAATCCGAGTCCCCACCGGATTCCAAAAAGCTGCGCAATTCGGTTCAAGGTTGCTGAGGGTCTAAACTAGGGTCTAGATGACCAAAACAGTACGGCATCCTTAATAAAGGGATCATGAAGAACTACCTATTTCCCACTACAGTCGAACTCTGACAGTTTGCTTAAGGTTTGGGGTTTAGCGTGTGCCTAGACCCCCCAGCTACCTACCCTCTGTCATACCCCAAAGACCCGATGTATGGACCCCAAGGGCTCTACTGAAGCTCCCTTCGGGGTCTTGGTCGGGTCTCAAATCCAGGGGTAGGATGTAGGGTTGACGGTGCAGGGCTTTGGGTTTAGGGTGTACCCTAAACCCTAATCATCCCTACACCCCAAACCCGCAAAACAATGTGGCTTCCGGTTTGATCCCAATCTAGGATACCCAGTAACCTAGGAACAAAAAGGCCTCTCTTTTTGGTATTGGGTAACTTTATAAGAAACCTAGGACTAGAAAAAGGGAATAAGGGTACTACTGGGCATCCTAGGAAACAACAAACCCTAAACCCTAAACCCTACAAAACCCTAAACCCTAACTTTAGCCCTCTACAACGAAGGAGGCAACGCAGATGCACCCTCCGGGTTGTTGTTAATGGAAGTTTCAGTTATCAGAATAGGGATCTATAGTACATGATATGGTTTCCTTATTATGGTAACTTATACTAACTAGGATGCCCCGTAACCTAGGAATATAAAAAGGGCTCCCGTTTTGGTACTGGGTAACTTTATAAGGACCCTAGAACCACAAAAATGGAACAAGGGTACTACTGGGAAACCTAGATAAAGCATTAAACAAGACTATAGAAAATGATACGGTTTCCTTATTTGTGGTAACTTATAACCTAAACCCTAAACCCTCAGATAAAACCTTAAAAAAGAGCCCAGCATGCGTCCTTGTAGCCGAAGCCTTTCTCACCGGTACAGAGCGCTCCTCGGCATAGAGCGATGAAAGCAAAGAGTTCCTATGCAGGGTTTCGGGCTTAGGTTGAGGGTTTAGGGTTTAGGGTTTACTGAGTTGCCGAATCCATAAGCCCCAAAAGTGTACACGTTCAGTTTTATAGTGGGTAATATTATCCCCAAAAAGGTGTAAAGTGTATCCACTCAGCTACTGAGTTTATGTAGGGGTACTATAGGGTTTGGGGCTCCTCTATGGAGTTGGGGGTGTAGGGTTTAGGGTTTTGGGGTTGACCTGGGGGTTTCCGAAAGGGTACCTTCTTTTGGGGTCCTTGTAATAAGGTACTACTATTTGCTTAAGAGCCCCCAAAAAATAAAAAATATATTCCTTATGGAGTATTATAGGGATTATTTGTTTTTATTTTTTGGTGGTTTCTTAAGCAAATAGTAGGGTACTATATTAGAACCCCCTATTTTCGGAAACTCCCATATAAGGGTACTATAGGGTTGACGGTGCCTTGAAGGGTACTGTAAGTTTCTGCAGCAGGGATTACCGTTTACTACCAATATGGGTGGTCTTTTGGGACCGAATCCCATAACGGTCGAACATATGGATCCTTTGGGTAACCTGGCAAGAATCAAGAGAGGCACTGCATCTCCACAACTAAGTCGTGGACACGAAAAGGACTTTTGAGACGTAGGGACCTAAACAATCAATTCTCTGTACCATGATGCACGCCCCTAGAATCTGGCCCTAGAAATCCCCAGTTCCTGCCTCTCAACTGGCAAAAGCGATCTCCTAAACTCAGATAACCTTGTACCCGAAACCCCAACTTTGGTATCTACAGTAGAAGCCAGAAAGTTGGAATATCATTATCGTAACCCCTTTAAAGTAAATTATAGGGGATCCTACCATTAATCCATATTCCAACTTTCTGGAGTTCCCTTTAGCCGTTACGACTCAGAAGGCTTCTGATCCAGCAGAGTTTCGGAAGTTCTCTGCGGTCTTCGGAACGACATCGCCACGCAGCATCATGATGATGCGACCAGCCTAGCCCACCCGAGTAGATGGCTTCAGGGTTGAGGGTCTAGGATTTAGCATAATTGTGACAGAAAGCTTCGTTTTCAAGTCTTCAAACTGTAGAAAACATAAACAAAAAGTCAAAATTTAGGAGTTGCAGGTTTCGTTGTCAAGTCTTCAAACTACAGGACTCTTGATTTTAGCATTTGCTCGCTCCTGGTTGACCTCGGCCCCCCGAAAATACCTCGCAATACCACGGCCACTACGGTTGGTGATCTAAATCCTGCATTACCCATAATAAGGAATATGCCATAATTCCCGTAGTTTAGGGTCCTTAGGATGATTTTGGATTTATCTCATCAACCGTAGCAGGTATCCAGAGACTCCGAAACCCTGCAGTTTAAGTAAAGAGTATACTATACTTTCATTGATATTCGGTTCCGATAAAAACTGAAGGTATAATATTCCTCAATTACAGGGTTTTGGAGTCTCTGGGTATTCAGGGGAGTTTATACTGGAAGGATGTCTGGGGCTGCCCAAAGGGTCCTAGGTACTGTTCTGGGGACACTTCCCCACGTCGCTAATCCTAATCCTTAGCCCCAAAAACACTACGTACTACTTGTTCATATCTCATTATCATAATACTAACTCTTGTACTACTTCTTCATATCTGTTTGTCACAATACTAACTCTTACTACAGAAACCCTACATTCTGCGATATAGGTACTTCGGACCCTCACGGTTTGGAGGCTCGGGGTTCGGAGGCTCAGGAGTGAGAGCTTCCACGTTGTAGAAATTCGGCATCGAAGGTTGAGCTGTAGCGAAACGACCTGCCTTTTTAGGGTTCCTTCTTACGTTTTTTATAAGTCGCTGAAATAACAGATCTTTTGGAACACGGGTAGCTTCTAGGGTAGCGCACCCACTTGCTTTAAGACTTCAACGGCCTGTACATACATACATCCATGCATACATACGTACATGCATGCATATGCATATATATATATATATGTATGTACAAGGTCGTGCCCAGCGATCAGAACACCCTCTTCTTTAACGGCCGTCATGTTCTGGTACCATTGCAACCTCAGCAAGCACTAGCTTTAACATGAAGCCCTTGAACCCCTTTGCAACAGCCGCATTTGGCCCTGAACTCCGCAACCGTTACCACCCCAGATTGAAGGTGGCTGTCCGGATCCCGTTAAATCGCTGGAGCGTTCAGAATGAGGTACTAGTACTAGTAATTGTAACAAAAGTAACAGTAATGGTAATGGTAGGAGTAATGGTGAATGGTGATGGTAGCAGATGATAGTACACTGCAGCTGCTGCCTAAAATCATCAGAACAGGGCTGTCTATTCTGCCCTGCTAGCAGCAGAAGAATACTATTTTAAGGGATTCTGAATATACTTACAATCTCATACAGGGAGCCTTGAATTCGAATGCAGCTTGGGGAGTAGACTGCTTGGCTTAAGGGACTTAGGGCTTTGGGGACAAAACTCCCTTCCAAAAACCTTATCCGAATATTAAGATCCCTATGACCGACTGTCTTGCCTTCTCGCCCCCGATCTCAATGTCGAAGAACGTTCGAGGGCACCTGAGAAACTTGGCGAAGTTCCAACCCAGACAACAGGCTTGTAGTGTCTACAGAAGCTTAAAGTTCAGGCTGTGTGGATGCTTGAAACAGCTCAAGGTTTAAAGGTGCCTCAGGTTCAATTTCTAAACCTGAAAGGCCGTGATCAGCACAATGCTAAACTCTCGACGTTCTGCGCCTTCGCGCCCGTCAATGCGTGTTACGTCGCCGGCATTAAATCAGATCCCTGAACCGAACCCACATCTCACTTGAAACATCCGGACGGCAGGAATAGGGTCGGGTGTGGCTCACTTTTGTCATACTGGAATTGCGCGAGCAAACAGAACACTAATTATGACACTACCCAACACTGCCGGAGGCTGGAATCCATTCGCCTGGTGCTTGGCTCCCATGTTCATGTCCATAATATTGTTGATCAACGGAGTATTGGGACTATAGCAGCATTTGCGCCCATACTCTCGGAGTTGCTCCACCTGGCGCAGCCCCTCCTTCGAGCGGAGGCGGAGACGCACATGCTGCGCTTCCGAAATTGCTCCTGGGGCGGCCCCTGGCTCGGCTGAGCGGCGGCCACTTCGCTCAATCCATTCCAAGGGTAAAAGGAGGGACCCTTAATAAGGACCCCTGGGTATATACCCTTAATATAGCTATTATATACCCATTATATAGCCCATTATAGGGTAGGGGTCCCCCTCCTTTTCCCCTTTGACCCATGCTCTCCCATCCCATTCTCCTGTGTAGCCTCTTGGATCCGTCACTGGGTCAAGAATCACTGTACACCCTAAACTGACCCTGAAAAACCCTACCGCCTATAAGCCTTAAACCACACACTTTACCTAAACCCTACAACCGATAAACCCCAAACTACCTCCACCACTCGAAGGGTCCGAGGCGCTTGGCTGCCTTGCCCAGCAAAGCATCCCACTTCTTCTGGTACATGTCCTGGCAGCTGACATTCCGGATAATCCAGAAAAATCATGGTGAATGTATGTATCTATCATATATCCGAGTCCTACTGTACTTGTATTCATGGTCCTGGCTTTTTGCTGATCTTCCAAGTTGTGATTCTTGTTGTCTTCATGTATTCGCTTTTGCAAGTACTCCTATGATGGGGTATATAATGGGTATATAATAGCTATTTTTAGGGTATTCCCGAAAGCATCGCGAAGGGTTCTTCCGTGTGGAACGCCGCAGTTGAGTACATAGATGACAGACATAGAATCAACTTACTTGACTTCATACTTTACTCTACACTTGATACTTACTTACTTACTTGACCCCTATGACTGACTCTCTACACTTGACACTTGACTCTATGATACTTGACTCTACACTTGATACTTGACTGTATGTTATGCTTACGACTTACTTACTTACTTACTTCAATCTACTTACTAACTTACTTGACACTTGACACTGGACTCTATGCTATCTCTATACTTACTTATACTTACTTATACTTACTTATACTTACTTACTTGACTTGCTTAGTACTTACTTACTTACCTACTTACTTACTTTTACTTACTTACTTACTTACTTACTTGACTCTATGCCTCTACTTACTTGACTCTATGCCTCTATGACTTACTCTCTACATCTCGGTATCTAATTCTCTCTTTTAAAGCCAGGGGGTGGCACCGTTGTCGTCCATCGGGAATGCAACCCTTCCCAGGGATTCGCCTCCTCGGGCGTTCAAACGCGAGGTTTTTAGGGTTCCCGCGCAACCCTTCACAGGGATTCGCCTCCTCGGGCGTTCAAACGCGAGGTAAAGTTACACATTTTAGGCGCCCGGCGCAACCCTTCACAGGGATTCGCCTCCTCGGGCGTTCAAACGCTAGGTAAAGTGACACATTTTAGGCGCCCGGCGCAACCCTTCCCAGGGATTCGCTGCCTCGGGCGTTCAAACGCTAGGTAAAGTGACACATTTTAGGCGCACCGCGCAACCCTTCCCAGGGATTGGAACTCTCGGGCGTTCAAACGCGAGGTAAAGTTACACATTTTAGGCGCCCGGCGCAACCCTTCACAGGGATTCGCCTCCTCGGGCGTTCAAACGCGAGGTAAAGTTACACTTCTTGCGGGCGCCGCGCAACCCTTCACAGGGATTCGCCTCCTCGGGCGTTCAAACGCGAGGTAAAGTTACACTTCTTGCGGGCGCCGCGCAACCCTTCACAGGGTTTGGGTGCAGTTCAATTTTTTTTGCAACCCTTCACAGGGATTTGCATTTTGCAACCCTTCACAGGGATTGGCGTGGTCGGGTGTTCGAACGCGAGGTAAAGTTGCATTTTTTGATTTGCATTGAAATGAATTTTGCAACCCTTCACAAGGATTGGCGTGGTGGAGTGTTCGAACGCGAGGTAAAGTTGCAATTTTTGATGAGCATTGAGATGAATTTTGCAACCCTTCACAAGGATTGGCGTGGTGGAGTGTTCGAACGCGAGGTAAAGTTGCAATTTTTGATGAGCATTGAGATGAATTTTGCAACCCCTCACAGGGATTGGCGTGGTCGAGTGGTTGAACGCGAGGTAAAGTTGCAATTTTTGATGAGCATTGAGATGAATTTTGCAACCCTTCACAGGGATTGGCGTGGTGGAGTGTTCGAACGCGAGGTAAAGTTGCAATTTTTGATGAGCATTGAAATGAATTTTGCAACCCCTCACAGGGATTGGCGTGGTCGAGTGGTCGAACGCAAGGTAAAGTTACACATTTTGCGGTGCCCCGCGCAATCCTTCATTGAGAGGGATTAGCTTCCTCGAATGTTCTAATCGGAAGGTGTGCAGGTACTGTTGCATGGTCTTTGGGCGCTGCGTGTAACCCTCTGCATGGATTGGCGTGGTCCAGGGTTGAAACGTGTGTGCAAACTACTACTTGTATCCTTTCCGCCGTGCAACTCTCCACAGGGAGTGGCGTGGTCGATTGCAGGAACTTGCATCTCTGCGAGGTGCAATTGGCAACCCTTCAGAGGGATTGGCAGATGCATATATCGATAATATACGCACATATATATATATATATATCTATCTATCTTTCTATCTATCCATATATAGATAGATAGATAGATAGATAATAGATATATAGATAGATAGATAGATAGACATATATTCATGCGCCTGTACGGCGCGTACGCTGTCTTGCGACGGCGCAACGCGCCGCTGCCTGGCCGATGACCTGCAGGCTCGGAGCTTCTTCCTGCTTTGTAGAGGCTTTCTCCTTGCACACGTTTGACTCGCAGGCTGCCTGGTGACTTCCGTTTGGGGATGTTTGTCAGCTGCCGCTATGTTTCTTCTTCCATGATACTATACCCTGGGTTGGTACAGTGCGTGCTATGGAGGCTCGGGGCTCCCGATGAACCTTTGCAACTACAACCAGCCATTTTCACAAGGCTCCGGACCGCCGTAACTCGTGTATGACCTCTCCCAGCACCTCACCAGGCCACCTCTCCGATGCTGACGACGAAGGCCGGGGAGGGTCGCCTGGGAAGAGTAATCCGGTCTAGGTCCAGGTTCCTCCCGCGCTGGCTCTCCACCCCCAACCCGACTCCGAAATGCTTCGTGATGCAGTGTAAGGTCTGTTGTTCTGCATAGATCGAAGTCAAATCGAAGGCTTCTGTGGTCTCACTTGATCTTGCGAACTCCCACGAACCAGTTGTATGTGTGTATGTGTGTGTGTGTTTGTGTGCTAAAGAGACAACGCATTGCACGAAGCGTGCATTTATGAAGTACATGGATCCGTCAACGGAGCAGGAGTGCACCATGAAGTTGTGAGGTACCGTGGGCGTCTCAGGCCGATTGACAATCGAAGGCTGCCGAGCGAGAACTATGATGGGCGAACCGTCAACGGCAACTTCAAGTGCTCGCATTGGTACATTGGTGCGGCGGAAGCGTAGTGATTCCCAATGCCTCGGTGTTCTCCTCCTGGCCGCGACGTCCTGTGAGCAGACAAAGGCTCATCGAGACGCAGGAGCTCCTCGATTGCGTGGCACGTTAAATACTTTGCGGCATCTGGCGGGTTTCCTGGTGAAGTAAGGTGTTTCACTTCGGAACGGTGTCTTTCCAAATCCCTAATGACTGCACTGCCTTTCGCTGCTGGAATCCCGGCGCCACGGATCGCGCAGCAGCTCAGCGAGGTGGACCCGTTTGTGGTATAGGATAGATCTTAAATCCCCAATCATCCTTTGAGAGACCCGTGTTGTGACTGCCGCTTGGGAATGTTTGCCAGATGCCGCCGGGTTTCTTCTTCTGAGATAGTATACCTTGGGTTGATACACAGGGTGTCACCGAAGCCTGGGGCTCTCGATGAATGTCTGCAGCTAGAATCAATCTTTCTGGAGGAGGCTCTGGACCACCATGATCCCTGCATTAGTCCTACTACTAGGCCTAAGGACCCATAAGCCCCTGGCGTTCCCCTGGAGTCTGTTGAATCGGCTAAGTAACATACGCTGGCCTTTTGTGGTTTGAGATGAAGAGCGAAACCCTAATTCCCGACTCCTTTCAGAGACCAGTGTTGCGGCTTCCGTTTGGGGATGTTTGTCAGCTGCCGCTATGTTTCTTCTTCCATGATACTATACCCCTATACCCTGGCTTGGTATAATGCGTGCTATGGAGGCTCGGGGCTCCCGACGAACCTTTGCAACTACAATCAGCCATTTTCACGAGGCTCCGGACCACCGTAATCCCTGGGATGACCTCTCCCGGCACCTCCTCAGGCCGCCTCTCCGATGCCGGTCTTTGGGACGTTGCTTGCTTGCTTCGACGCTGTCTTGCGAAAGAGCAAGCAAGCAACGACGCCGCCACGAGAAGAATGTGCGTGTGTGTAAAAAAAGCCAAGTCTTCAGGAAGATTTTAAGATGTGCCATGGCTGATCAGAGACCAGTCAGTCACCTGTGACTCTGTCCTCATTCGCAGCTCTATTATTGTGAAGTCAGTGAAGCTTCTTGCAATAACGCCATTTTCTGCAGCTGGTGTTTCCGCTGGTACAATGAGGACGATGTGAGGCGTTCCACCCTCCATAACTTGAGAGGCAGGAATGCCGAGGACGAGTGGCCAGTTCTTGGCCAGGCACATTTCCATATATATATATATATATATATATATATATATATATATATATATATTTATATGTATAGTATCCATATATTATGCATTTGCCAATCCCTCTGACAAGTTGCCACTTGACCTGTTGAGTCAGGCTCTGAGCCCTCACGCTAGGCGGATCTTGATTAAGCGTTCCCACACACAGGGCATAGAGTGAACTACATCGAGTCAAGTGTATGGTACAAAGATGACTCCACGACTCCGTGACTCTATCTCACTACAACTCTATGACTTTATGACTCATGACCCATGGACTCTATGACTCTTGATTCTGTGACTTTACGATCCTATACACTGACTCTATCTCACTACGACTCTATGACGCTATGTCACTGCAACTCTATGACTTTATGACTCATGACTCATGGACTCTATGACTCTTGATTCTGTGACTTTACGATCCTATACACTGGATCTATCACATAGCCCCACACTCTTCGCTGATGATGCTTTCGGGCCAATTGTCTTCTAGTATACCTAGGGGTCCTTATTAAGGGTCCCTCCTTTTACCCTAGCTCTACGGCCTGCATGATTTGGTTTAAGGGCGGCCGAGGCCCGATGCAATTCTTCAGGCAAAGATACTTCGAGTACCGAAAAATTTAGGGGTTAGGGTATAGGCTTTAGGGTTTAGGGTAGTATATACTTGTAGCCATATAGTATACTAGGATACCCAGTAACCTAGGAATAAAAAGGCCTCTCTTTTTGGTATTGGGTAACTTTATAAGGAACCTAGGACTAGAAAAAAGGGAATAAGGGTACTACTGGGCATCCTAGTACTAAACCCCAAGTTGGGGAGCAGGATTTCCGAAGTTGCCAGACTCTGCCTGAGGGGCCGCGACAATCAGAGTAGTGTTGGGTTGTAACATGGAAAGCCTACTTGTCGAGTATGTTGGTGAACCGCAGGTTAACCTTTTGGGAAAATGCTAATTATTGAGCCTAGTTTAAGGGTATATGGGAGTTTCCGAAAATCAGGAGTACCTTATTCTAGGGTCCTTATAATAAGAATCCTATTATTTAGGGTAATATATTAGTGTCCCCTATTTTCGGAAACTCCCATATAGGGTTTGGGGTTTCGGTTCAGAGTAAAAGGGCTTAGTGTCCCCAGATCCGGTCTCTTTAGGGCAGTGTTGACAACGCCAGTCTCAATCACCTGCTAGGATACCCAGTAACCTAGGAATAAAAAGGCCTCTCCTTTTGGTATCGGGTAACTTTATAAGGAACCTAGGACTAGAAAAAGGGAATAAGGGTACTACTGGGCATCCTAGCCTGTTGCTTTACATAGAAATGACGAACTCTAGATATGGGACTTTTTGGAAATAGGGGGCCCTGATATAGATACCCTTTTAGTAGGATCCATGTAATAAGGGTCCCAAAATAAGGTAACCACCCTAATTTTCGGATACTCCCATATTCACCCCTTGGTGCAACGGTGGCCGCGCCTATAGCGAATCCCCTTCGACCGACACAAAACCAAATCTTGCAAAATCACCCCCCCCCCCGGGTCTATACCTGTAGCCGAGAAGACATACCTTTTTCAGGAACTACATGTAGAAATCATGAAAAGGAGTCTTAAAAAAGGTAGGTAGTCTTAAAAAAGGTAGGTCTTTCCGGCTACAGGTATACAGTGAGGTCTAAAAATGGTAAGAATTTGAAGAGGCCACAAGACTCTAAATCGTAAAACCCTGAACCCTAAAACCATAGGCCTCCATGAACCCCTGGGCCCTAACGCCCGAAACCCCACAGCCTTAAAAGCCCTAAAACCCAAGGTTCTTATGAATAAAGCAGCTTAAGTTGCCAGAACCAGCAACTCCATTACTATCCCTGTTATGGGAACTCAACTTCCAGAAATTAACCCTAAACTCGACTACTTACTATAGACCATAAACCTCTCTTACAGTAACTCAAATTAACCTTCTTTTCCCTAAACCCTTATAGAACCCGTGAAGGAACCACAAACGTCGGTAGCCTAACCTGATAACTTACACTCAACTCCTTAACAAGAGCCCAATCCTTGATGGACTTTTCCAAGTCCTGGCAAGTGGGTTCCTTTAAGGCTATGAGCATCTAGGGCGTCTAGGGGTTCAGGTTTAGGGGGTCAGGGGTCAAGGGCGTAGGGCCTAGACTTTGGGGCAAGGGTTCAGCACCCTAAACCCTAAACCCTAAACCCCTAAACCCCTAAACCCTAAACCCTAAACCCTAAACCCTAAACCCCAACATTGGGCTTGAATCTTTAAGGTTCTTTGGGCGATGAAGTGTGTGAGCAAGGCTTGGTTGGCAGTGCCGTGGCAAGAAATCCAAGAGTACTGGGTTCCAAGAGTAAAAGGAGGGACCCGTAATAAGGACCCCTAGGTATATACCCTTAATATAGCTATCATATACCCATTATATAGCCCATTATAGGGTAGGGGTCCCCATTAAGGGTCCCTCCTTTTCCCCTTTGATGGGTTCACCGATCAGAACAACGATTTCAGAGTCGGGGCAGGGCTCCAGGGCGCAGCAACCCATGGTATCAGGAGCCTGTGCTACGCATAAAGCTTCATAGTTGCTCCTTAGGAGCTGCCCCCACCCTGTAATAGTGACCATAAGGATTATATAGGATTATATTAGGGCCCTATTATATTCCTATTATACCACTATTACAGGGTGGGGGCAGCTTCTAAGTTGTTCCCTTCAAAGGAGTCATGAAGGAGATATGTGCGATGAACAATCAGCTGATTCGAAAGCCCATCATCATCCCAATCCCCACGTGAAGCATCCCCCCGAAAGCCCTAAACCCTGAACCCCTAACCCTAATTAGACCTACAGTAAACCCCATAAAGTTGGAAACCTGATTAAGGCCAAACAGTCCCGGGACTCTATATCCCTTACTCTTACGGATTGAGTCTATTGAGTGTCCAGCTTTTAGGCTTTTACTTTAGTGCAGCGCCGGGTACCTCCTCCGTGGGATACTTTGCCTTCAGCTCCTTGCGCACATGTCAGCACTCACTCCACAAATGCCAACTCTACACCGCATTTGATCATTACGAATGCTGTGTATTTGTAGGAACTCTATAGGCTCTCTCCTTCAATAATCGGGCCCAAAAAAGTTTAAACTTTCTAAGATAGACCAGATAAATCAGCCTAAAACGTTGAAAGTTCCCCCATTGGCTATCTAAGTAAGACATAATATCCGGTGATTTACAGACACCTGAACTTCGCCTCGGAACACTACGGCGCAAGCAGCCTGTGTCCCAAACCTATGGGAGCAAGGTTCTCTTCGGACAGGAACATCAGATCCTAGCTAACACACGTATAAAAGGTTCATGAAAATACATAATTAATCCCTAACTAAAACTCGAAACTCTAACAGACTCTCTCAAAGGGTCCTACTTGGAGGTTCATGGGTAGTTATAAGTGGGGTTATAAGCAGGGTAACTATACTTACAACTCATATTCGGGGACTTATAACCCTACTTAGAACTACCCCAAAACTCTAATCCCTAAACCCTCTAGAACCCTTAAAGGATCCCTTAACGGAACCCTTATAACCCTACTTAGAACTATCCATGAACCTCGAAGTTAGCGGACTGTAGGGTTTCTCTACGGTGAACGCATTTAATAAGAAATCGTTTCAAGCAAGAAAAATTGGGGTCTCGCTAGATCGCAATTTCTTAGCTCAGCGTCCAGATGTCACGGAATTTCTTAATCAAACAACCCCCCAACCCTTTCACCTTCCAGCCTCCAGTATCCACCAACCCAGCCCTCCAAGCCCTCCAGCCCTCCAGCCCTCCAAGCCCTCCAGCCCTCCAGCCCTCCAGCCCTCCAGCCCTCCAGCCCTCCAGCCCTCCAGCCCTCCAGCCCTCCAGCCCTCCAGCCCTCCAGCCCTCCAGCCCTCCAGCCCTCCTCCCCTCTCCAGCCCAGCCCTCCAGCCCTCCTCCTCCAACCCTCCTCCAGCCCTCCTCCGGGCTGGAGGGCTGGAGGGCTGGCTGGAGGGGCTGGAGGGCTGGAGGGCTGGAGGGCTGGAGGGCTGGAGGGCTGGAGGGCTGGAGGGCTGGTGGTCTGGAGGCTGGGGATACTGTTTTAGAAATCCAATTCAGACCCTGAACCTATCTCACATTTCTAATTTCCAGGTTGCCCCCATAAGAAATTTCCAGGGTCTGATCTCACCTGCGCCGTTTCTTATCGAATGTATTTGCCGTACTAGGAAGTACTATTCCTCATGATTCGGGAAAGTCTCCCCACCTAACAGTCCGAGGACCCCTTTAAGATTAGCAAACCCGAGGGCTCTAAGGACTCATATATTAAGGCTTTTGGGCCCCAAGACCATACTCTCTCTCTCTATATATATATATGGCTTTTGGGCCCAAAGACCATATTAAATAGAAGGATTTTGGGCTATTCTGATGCCGTGTGAAAATCATGCTTGCTCTCTCTCCTTGCCCTTCTCCGAGCTGTCATCCTTGTAGGAGGCTCTCCTTATGCTTTGCGGCGTTGAGTGGAGGAGTCGGTGTTTACTATAGAGGCCTTAATGGCTAGAATCGGGTTTTGGGGCTTATTATACTATAAGTATAATAAGGAAACCCCAAAATAGTATTGGCAATTATTCAAGAATTCAGGCCCGTCTTTTAGTTTGCGTTTGTTTTATGGGCTCCTTTTCTCACTGCTGTTACGAGTGTGAAATTCCTAAATTAGGAAGAGCGAGCGGGCTGGGGCCTGTGTTTTCAGTTGCGTCCTTGTAATGTAGGGGCGTAATGATTAGAATAGGATTTGGCGCTCCTGCTTAGCACATAAGGAACCCTGAGGAATATGTTTGGTAATTATTTGGGGCGTCTATAGTTTCCATTACTCATTACGGACCCCTGAAACCTGAACGTAATCCCCTGAGGCCCCAACCGCTGCAACTGTTTCAGCTGTGTTTGGTTAACTTCAGTTGGGCTTCTTTGCAGGACTATCACAGGACATCTCGGGCCACTTTGCAAACAAAGCTCCTAAAATAGGTCGAGGAACTAACATGTACCTAAACCTCCCAAAGTAGGTAAACTAATGGCCCAGTACCCATAAAAAGGCTACTATTCTACATACTTCTGGGGTCCAGGTATTCATCTAGTTCATGGTTGGGATAGGATCAAAAATCTAAGTTCTTATTCCTTATTGGGTTTAAGTACCCATAAAAATGTAAAATGTTACCCAACTATGACAAAGTCATCATGCAGTCCACCGGAGGTCAAGACAGTCATGACATTCCCAGGTTTGTCAACCGGCGACTCTTCAGTCCCCCGTGCCAATGGCACCAGCCATTCTGTCCACACCCCAGGTGTCATCGGTTTCGTCCTCCGGGTCGGGCATTGTCAGTGCGGCAGCCTGCTTCAGAAGCTTGATCTTCATGGCCTTCGGCAGCTCGCGCATTTCCATGCCGAACATCTTGATGGGCATGTCCACGACACTCATGGCCAAGATGTGGAGCAGGAGCAGCGGGCGAGCAATCACGCAGAAGCCCAGCTGTCAGCGGCTTGAGCTCGAATTGCTGTGAGCTTATAGGGTTTACGCGGATTTAGGGTTCAGGGCTTCATTTATTGCTGTGGGGTTTAGGATGGTCTCGGGCATTTGGGTTGAAATAGGGTATTCGGGTTCTTGGGTTTAGGGCATCATACTAAACCCTAAACCCTAAACCCCAAACCCTAAACCCTAATTTCTAAAGGTCTTCATGGAGGGCGTAGGATTCAGGACTTTGGGAATTGGGGGGGGTTGAAAGTGAAGGGCTCTTGGGTGTTGCAGCTCAACTCTTCGGTCCACATGAGGCATGGTTTTAAGGCTTTAGGGTTTAGGGTTCAAGGGTTTAGGGTTTAGGCTTCAGGGTTTAGGGTTAAGGCTTTAGGGTTTAGGATTTTGGAATGGTTTGAAGGTCTAAACTTTCAACCCTAAACCGCCAGATGCGATTTTGCGTTTCCTAAGCTGAGCTTCAGGGTACGTTTAAGCGTCTGGGAAGGGGCCGGCTCACCTTGCTACATTGGAAAGCTCAGGAAAAGCTTTTTGTTGTTTCAGGCTATACGGGACCAACCATACGTGTAGTTCTCTAAATTGAAGCCTTTTATTTCAGGTCGTGTTTGTAAGGGTGACGTACTATCTTGCCGGCTAAAAAAACCTTACTTTGGAGAACTACCCATATATATATATATATACATACATACATACATATACATATATATATATGTAAATATTTATATACATACATACATATATATATATATATATGAACGAAGCAAAGACCTGCGTTCCAGGGTTTACCTGCTTGTACAGTATCCTACGGGATCTCCGGATTATACACGGATTCTAATCCATCAGAAAGGTTACCCACTATGCCTCCAGGGACCTTATTATGGGGTCCTTATGGGGTCTAGGGCCCTAACTATGAGGTCCTTGGAGGGATAGGGTACGAGTTACCTCATCTACAAGAAAGTTTAAGGGGAACTCCAGAAAGTTGGAATATGGATTAATGGTAGGATCCCCTATAATTTACCTTTAAAGGGGTTGCGATAATGATATTCCAACTTTCTGGCTTCTACTGTAAGTAAAGCTTTTAAGCCATCCAAGTGGCTGTCCGTCAGCCCACTTCTTCATGGCCTGTACAGCGAGAGCTTGAAACCTTCACTACTATTTGCTTAAGAAACCCCCAAAAAAGAAAAAATAATAATCCCTATAGTACCCCCATAAGGAATATATTTGTTGTTTTTTGGGGGCTCTTAAGCAAATAGTAGGATTCAGTCTCTGGGATTCCAAATTGACGGTTGCAGGGATCCTTACTACCCAGAGAGCCCAAGGGGCCCCTTAATTAAGGAATATAGCTTAAATCATAATATGAAGCCTTATATAATCTAAGCCATATTCCTGAATTAAGGGGTATTGGGCTCTCTGGGTAGGTAACTTTCCCAAGCGCTAGAATGACACTGTGGGGCTCTTATGTTGGGAGTCACTTATTCCCGAGGCGTGCTGAGGATTCGATGTTAGAATGCTCTACGCTAGCGAAAGCGTATCTTAAAAAGGACTCTATCCCTAAGGCTCTAAGGACTCATATCTTGAGGCTTTTGGGCCCAAAGACCATACTATATAAGGCTTTTGGGCTGTCTTGAGCCTTAGGGTATTGTTTACGGTTTACGGTCTTGTTTTTGTGTTCCCGTTTTGTGATAAGACTCCTATCTCTGTAATGTAAGTAGACATGCCTGAACACCCAACGGGAAAAACACTGACAACCTGATGAAAGTATCAAAATCAGGCTTTCCAAGCATATTTTGTTTTAAATGGAATAAGGAACCCTAAGAAAAAGGCGCTATAGTTACGTACCCTTCAGGTTAACCCTGGAGCCTACCTGGATTATGCCGCACTTGCGAGGGTCCTGGTGCAAACCCGAACCAACCCCAAACCCTAGCCTAAAGCCCGAAACCCCCAAAACCCTAAAACCCAAACCTGAGACCCTAAAACCCGAAACCCTACTTAAAGGATCATGGGACTTAGCAATTATAATTAGAGTAACTACACTTATAACTTCTCGCATTCGTAAACGCCTCCTCGTTCTTCGCCCCAAAGAAGCGTTCCTTGGCCTCCTCCGTCCACTCCCCTGCCTCAAGGCACTGCGCCCGGTAGCCGGGTTAGGGTTTAAGGTTTGATTTGTTTTAAATTGAGTTGAGCGTTTAGGGTTTAGGGTTTAAGGTTTACGGTTTTGGGTATAGGTTTGGAGTATCATGCTTGATTTTGTGTGTGTGGGCGTGAAGTTTAAGGTTTGCGGTGTAGGATGTAAGCGACGAGCCTTACTCATTCGAACAGGTGTTGGGGATATCTTAGAGCATACACATAGGAATCATGGTAACAGAGAGGTATCAGCAGGGTAGTATACAACTCTGATCCAGGTCGGGTAGGAGGTAGGGACAGTCATCGACTCCGGATAGAAGCACTTCTGATTCTTGCAACCTTGACCCGGGTTTAGGTGTACCGAAAGCCATACATGACCACCATGAGTGTGTTTCTTAAGTAATTTGAGGCTTAACATGTCGGATGTAGGGTTCAAGGGGCTCAGGTGTGTAAAGATTGAATTTGCGGGCCCCAAACCCAAGCAAAAAACAACTTTCCTACACGCACTCACCGAAACACGTTTAAACCCATTATAGGGCTCGGGGGGAAGAACTGAACCCCAGAGACGTCAAAATTCGAGGTGTAAGCCTCGGCTTTCCATTCGCCTGCTTCCGTAATGCCGTCTTGTGTTGGTCGTGTTGTGTACGATGTGTATGAGCTCCGTAACAATCAAAGCGGACGACTGTTCAGCTGGTCTTGCACAGCATCGCTGTTGCCACCCCAACCGGCATCACCCCAAGTCACGACACATCCATCGTAGCGGATAGCGGCAAACGCACGATGCGAAGATTGGATCTGCTGCACCCCGTGGAGGTGCTGTTGCACGGAAGCACTGTCGCCACCACAGCCAGAAGTGCCCCAGGTCACCACAGATCCATTTCCGAGCAGTGCAGCAAAAGCAAAATCAGTGGCTTGAATCTGATGCACATCCTTCAGTTGCGCTTGTACGTGGCTGCTGTCACCGCCATAGTTGTCTTCTCCCCAGGTCACGACAGAGCCATCGGACAGGATTGCAGCAAAAGCATCCGAAGTGGCTTGGATCTGCTGCACACCCTTTAACCGATCCCCAACGGCACTGCAGCTACCACAACGACGACTGCCCCAGCCTGGGCTCTTGTTCGGGGGGGGGGGGGAATTCAAGCTACCATAATCGAGATATACACTCATGAATAATGGGGTTTCCTCATTGTGACAACGACTAACCAGTGGTTTTGGGGTTCCCTAAACTCTTTAGCTCCTTATTCAATAGGGATTATCATCATCCCTGGCTCCTTAGCTCCTCCAATATCAAAGGTTAGACGAACAGAAACAGCCCAGCAGCACATCACAGATCCATCCCCCAGTATGGCAGCATAAGCTCTTCCACAGCTCTTGATTTGACGAACATCTTTCAGATCCTGCACACGGGCCCCTGACAGGGGGTCATGCGCGTCATAGCCCCACGATACCTTGCGTGGCCAGTCTCCTAGAGGAACTAAAGGTTAACCTTTGGGGTTATATATAGCGAGTATATAGCGAGTAGTTACAATACCCCAAAAGGTTAAATGTTATGTAGTTACTCTACAGTACTAGGGCCCCCAAAAGGCACATAAGCAAAAATTAGGACAGGGATATCCCGTATAAACCCCCTTATCATGAAGCCCAATAATAGGGATATCCCTATTAAATGCTTATGCTTATGTGCTTTTGGGGTCCCTAAAGTACTTCCAAGTCACAACTGAGCCATTACGAAGAATCGCCGCAAATCCACGCGTAGAAGATTGGATTGCTTGCACAGCTTTCAACTGATCCTGCACAGCAGCGCTGTCACCACCATGATAGGCATCACCCCAAGTCACCACTGATCCATCAGCCAGGATGGCAGCAAAAACACGACTGTTAGCTTGGATGTGTAGCACGTCCTTCAGCTGATCCTGCACACATCTGCTGTCGCCACCGGAATCGGGATCGCCCCAGGTCACCACCGATCCGTCGCAGCGGAGGGCAGCAAATGCACCGACAGAAGCTTGGATCTGCCGCACATTCCTCAGCTGCTCCTTGACGGCACTGCTGTCACCACCACGCCGAGCATAGCCCCAGGTCAACACGCAACCGTTTCGGAGAAGAGCTGCAAAGGCACGATCAGAAGACTGGATCTGCTGAACATCCTTCAGCTCCTCTTGAACGGCAGTGCTGTGGCCACCGCAAGTCACCTCGCCCCAAGTCACCACAGAGCCATCACCCAGCAGGGCTGCAAAAGCCCTTGAAGAAGCCTGGATATGCCGTACATCCTTCAGCTGATCTTGCACACAACTGCTGTCGCTTCCATAGCCAACAGCGCCCCATGTCCTAGGTATCCCCGGTATCCCCTTAGTAGCCATTCCTTATTTCGCACTCAGTCTTAGCTGGGAGACCCAAAACAGAAGGTACTTACTATAGGGGCCTAAATAATTAGGGCCCACCTTTCTATAATTATAGGAGCCCGCGGAATGGTACAGGTAATTATTTGGGCCCCGATGGTACTTTGGGGGAACCAAGTGTCACCACCGATCCATCACCCAGGATAGCTGCGAAGGCAGCTTGAAGGCCGGCGTCACCTGGGAGTTTCCGGAAACTAGGGGGTACCATCTTTTGGGGTCCTTACAATAAGGATCCTACCAAAGATCGGGGGACTTAGTAACTGGTTATTTTAGGGACTTATAAGTACCATAACCCCAATTAGGGTCCCTTTTAGGGTACTATAAGGGTACTTTTAAGTCTACTTGCTACCTACTTACTAAGTCCCCCTAAACCCTAAACCCTAAACCCTATAAACCCTAAACCCTACTATTTAGGGTATTATATGAGGGTCCCCTATTTTCGGAAACTCCCGCCTTTCTTGGAGGCTGCCAGCTGCACCTGCTGCACCTGGCGGTGCATCCAAATTCTGGGGCCCTTTTAGGTTTAGGGTTTTTAGGCTCCTTTTAGGTTCAGGGTTTAGGGTTTTTTGGCTCCTTTTAGGTCCAGGGTTTAGGGTTTTTAGGGTCCATTTAGGTTTAGGGTTTAGGGTTTTAGGGTTTTACACTACAAGGAATATAGTAAACTACCGAACCCACAAGGGCCACGTGATTTTGATCAAGCCCCAGACATGTAACGTCAGCATGGCTCCGCTCTGCAAGCCGGCTTCCTGAATTGTCGCGTGCAAGGCCAAGACCTGGCCAGAAGAGCTCAGTAGCCTGACTGGGCTTTGAAGTGACCAAGGATTGGGGTTTAGGGGCTTAGGGTTTAGGGGTTTAGGGGTCTAGGGTTTAGGGGTTTAGGGCTTAGGGGTAAAAACCATAAACGTTTCTTCATGATGACTCCTGTGGAGAAAAGGTAACAATAAACATTAAACATGGTACTGAAGAACCCAGTGGCCTTCCCTTGCCAAACCCTAAACTCTATAGATCCCTTTAAAGAACCCTATTATAGATCCCTTTACAGGTACCCTTAATTTTCGGAAACTCCCAAACCCTAAACCCTATAGATCCCTATAAAGAACCCTTATAGATCCCTTTAAAGGTACCCCTAATTTTCGGAAACTCCCAAACCCTAAACCCTATAGATCCCTTTAAAGAACCCAGTGGCCTTCCCTTGCCAACTCCCAAAGCAGTCTGGGCGCTTTGGTTCCTATACTGAACTTAGAACCCTAGCAAAAATTATGAGTTCAGGCTGTTTCATAGGGACTATAATAACCCAAAAAAGAAATATTTCTAAGTACCCCTAAGGTTCAGGGAGGCGACTGATGCATCTGCCTCCACTTGCAGCGACACCGTTCTGCCACTGACCAGCCCCACATCGATCCGCAAAGACATAGTGGCTTGCGACCACGAACAGTAGCTTTGATGCGAATGATCAACATAATGTCGTAACGTCCCAGTAAGATGCAACTTTGCAGCAACAACGGTTGATTCAATTGTTGAGCCAAGACAGACTGAAAAATGGGGCAACAACATCGATAGGGTCCGAACAGGCAATAGTGGCGGTCTCGATCGTACATTCCAAGGACTGGTAAAACTGATACCGCCGCCCACATGATGAAAAACAGGTGTGGTTTGAATTTGCAATCATGCACCCCAATATAACACTCGTACTTCAGATACCCTAAGCCCGAAACCCCTCAACGGCCCTTTAATAAAGCGATGGCTTTTGCGAACCCGGCTAGTTGGGCCTTTACAGGCTCTGAACACCATATTCGTAGATATGATCCTCTTAAGCCCAATATAAGGGAAGATGTGAAATGTATCCCGAATGCCTACCTAAATCAAAAAAATGGCTCTGTTTACATTTCGCGGCTGTTGTATCGTGCCATGAGCAACGAGCTGCAGCAAGCACTTAATTGAAATGTCGTGGACCTGGCAGAAGATGCCAATCACTAAGGATTTAGGGCCCAGGGATACTAGGGTTCAGGTAATAAAATTGCCCTAGGGGGGGCAGAGTACCTCATACTTTGATAGCTGCGTAGGTTGATATCTGGGACAGCGTATGATTGTTGGGCACTTGGATGTTTAGGAGATCCCGCCGATACACCAAACATTCAAAACCAACGAAAAGCGAAACAACACCCAAAAATGACATTAGGGGCGCGGGCTTAAACTATCCATCTTACCCTTTCAAGGTCAGGGTACACAACATTTGCCATTCTGAGAACCGGACCCCAGAGCCATTGGCCGCAAACTTTGGAGAGTTTCTCGGGGGGATGACCGATTTAGAACCGGGGGGACGGCTTCATAAACCCCTAAACCCTAAACCCTATAGATCCTTCAAAGGAGCCCTATAGATCCCTTAAAGGAACCCTAGGGGGTCTTCCAACATAGTCATGATGAGGAGCCCCTCACTGCGTCAAATGCAGACTGTCACTACGAAGTAAAGTCTCCCCTCGGAGACGTTGCATAAGGTGTTGTGTTTAGGGTTGAAGGCTTAGGGCGCATGGGTTTAGGGTTTCCTGCCAAGGGTTTGGTGTCTGTTTATGTAGGGCTTGAGAGATATGTGAGCATGTTCTTTTTGCACCCTCCCGGTCAACTGCACTTCAACATTGACGCTTCTTGGATGACCCTACTATAGGGGCCTTAATACTTAGAAAAGGGGTTTGGGGTTACATTATATTTTGATTGTAATAAGGAGCCCCCCCGAAAATAGTATTGGGAATTATTGAGGCCCCTACCCTAAACCCGAAACCGGAGCCTCTGTCTTGAAGCCATCCGGGGCTGGCCTCCAGATCAAAAGGATTTACTTAAAGGATCATGGGACTTAGTAACTAGGGTTATAATTAGGGTAACTATACTTATAACTACTTATAACCCCCAATTAAGGTACTTATAACCTTACTTACTAAGTCCCAGGATCCTCCAAGTAGGGTTTAGGGTGGAAGTTGTTCAGGATGCTTCAGGGCTCCTACAGACTACACGTCCGTAATTTCGAAATGCCTTATAATATAAGTACCAAACTTGAAATGTCCCGCCCAAACATATGGAGTACTCCTGAACTCAAACGCTTTGTGCGGGATTTTTGAGCAAAGTTAGAGTTCCGCCTGACGAACCGTTTAAACCGTGCACACGCAGGACTTAATTGTTACGGTGAACTTATTACACAGCGTAAGCACCTGATCAAGAACACCGCCTCTTTTCAGGACGAACATGGAGCCTGAAATGTCCTTGAAAAGGTTTCCATTTCAGGTCCATATCCCAGAGAGACTCTCGGTTACTATCGTGCCATAACGGACAGGTCACCACCTCACCTTACTTAAAGGATCATGGGACTTAGTAACTAGGGTTATAATTAAGGTAACTATACTTATAACTACTTATAACCCCGATTAAGGTACTTATAACCTTACTTACTAAGTCCCAGGATCCTCCAAGTATAGGATCCTTATGGGATGGTGGTAAAGGGGGGGAACAAGGAATCCTTAGGGGACTCTCACGGAACCTTAGGGAGTACTAGGGAGAATTAGGGATCGCTAGGCTATTTACCCCCCTGGACCTCCCTATCTTAAGGATACTATAATCCCCAGTACGAAGCATCAGATAACCACCGGCCAGAGTGAAGTTCGGTACGTCCTTGCTTAGCTGCTTTCCTGACCCTAAGAACCCTGACGCCTACCCGAAGGTTTCAGCACAACTTATTTAAGCCCCACTAGAACAGTAAAGAAAAACAATACTCTTAATAATCCGTTGGAGTTGCATTATCATAAAAGAAAAAAACAAACAGCTCCTAACCCCAAACCCCTAAACTCTGAACCCCTAAACCCTAAACCCCAAAGCCTCTAAGGCATTGAAGATTCAGAGGAGCCCCTCGTTCCTTGGAGAAAATCCTCGATGGAGGAACCCTCCTACGCCGTAGTTTCCTTGAAGTGGTGAGGGTGGGTTTAGGATTACGGAGTGTAAGTTCAGGGGTTTGGGGTTAGGCGGTTTGGGGATTTGGGTTTAGTGGTTTAGAGTTTGGCACGGGGTGCTTTTTAATTCCAAGAGACTATCCTAAAGACTATCCTCTGAAGGGCTGTTGGGTGCCTTGTTGAACTTGCACATGATATGCCCAGAACCCGATTCTAATTAAGTATTGAGGCCAGGAAGTCGGACGGAATCAGGGCATGACGGGAAGAGCCGTAGGTAATATGTGGGTAGTTGTCAAAATTAGGGTCCCGTTTTGGGTACCCTAAATATTAGGTGCCGTATTATATGAGGGACCCAAAAAGGGACCTTGATTTTGACAGCCACCCATGTGTGTCCTTACAGTCGCGAATCATGAATACGCCTTAGCACCTAGCAATTCCAACGCGCTGAACAAATATTCTGCATTGGAGCGTTTCGCTTAGATTCCCAGAAACCTTGTGCTGAAGCCCCCTCCGAGGCAACGGCAGAGACATCGCGTTCAGGGGCACAAAACTCGGGGAATGACCAGAAGTTAAAGAACTTGAGCCGCAGCAGAGCATTTTGAGGTAAATGGTGCCAGTTCTATGGGGAATGTCGTTCAACTTACCATTGGTTAGATTAAAAGGGAATGGAAGAATGGTAGTAATAGTAGTTATAATTATACCCCATGCCTCCATTCCCTACTAACCAAAGGTAAGTCAACTGTAACAAGCTACACATAATTGAGGACGGCGGATATCTTCTGACACAGGGTTTCAGAGCTTTGAAGTGGGTGTAGGTGAGTGCAGGTTCATCATGTACTGAGTAAGGGTTTGCAACATTGTCACCGTCAAATGCGTTTAACGATGTGATGTCGCCGAGTTTATGCATAAACTCCCCGACATTACAGTAGACACCGCAGTAAGCACCACACCACATGCAAGATACATGTATCCGAAGATCAAGGTCCTCAAGGTCAACGCCCTTCAAGACGGTTTTTTCATTAGGAATCTACAGCTACACACCCTCAACCCTGCAACTATTCAATTCCTAATCCCTGAACGCCCAAATCCCATCAAGATCCCTACATTGGGAAACTGAAATTTCGGGAGGTCAGGGAATCTGTTTGTAATCTCAAAGGGCCCATGATAAAGGGCCTGTAAGGTTATGCAGGAAGGTCTGGGCTTAGGATCCCTTAAGACGGGGCGATAGAAAGTCGAACGGAGGCTCGAAAACGAGAAAGGGCCAATTTAAGGGTTCTTTCAAGGGCTCGATAAAGGCTTGTTAGAAGGCTTCGATGATGTTCGCCTCCACAGTCCTTTGAGGGGTTCTATAGAGCGGCTGTACAAGGGCTACTGTTGGGGTGCTATGATGTAGCGGACGTTAAGGAAGAGCACTATTACTAGCAATGTTTCCGAGCTCCATTTTAAAAGTGGTCATGAGGTAAGATGCAACTGGGCACTTGGGGTCGGACTGCCAAGTTGCTATGTACTTCCCTCATGTTCATCCTTTGCAACTAACTATCACTACCCGGAATCGCAAGCAGCAAATTATCGATTCGATTGCTTGGACCTTCGGAACATTGGAACGCATTGGGTGGTCCTGGCACGGGACAAACTGTTGATGGTATAAATCCTGCATTACCCATAATAAGGAATATACCATAATTCCCATAGTTTAGGGTCACTATGATAATGCAGGATTTATATCATCAACCGAATTAATCAATCCAAACAAGACCACATGCCCTCGCCCCCGGCAGCGCGGGGCAACAAAGGTGGCGCACGTCTTGGGCTCAAAGCCGCCATACTCGATGTGAACGAAATCTTCCTGTGTGCAACATCCCTAGGTTTCAAGAACTTACGGTGCAGGGATCTGCATTTTACGGTTTGATTCGAGCTGGGTGTGTGGGGGCTTTAGGGGGTGTAGGGCTCAAGCTTGGCCTGAGCTCGGAAATCAATCCAAAAGCATTGCGTTGCCTTGGATTTGGGCCGAGAAGCATCAGAATGAGTCCTCATGTGCTCCTCAGAAGCTGCCCCCACCCTGTAATGGTGAATATAAGGATCTTTGGACCTTAACAGATAGGCTTTGGCTCCGGGATCTGATAGGGTGATCCCCAGACAGCTCAATACCGCTTAATTAAGGAGTATAGCTTACATCATTATATGAAGACCTGTATAATTCAAGCCAGCCATATTCCTTGTTTAAGGGGTATTGGGCTCTCTGGATCTCATCCTGGGTTCTTGCTAAGGAATTGAAGTGAATTTACCATAATAAGGAAACCATAATCTTTGCCATAGATCCCTATTATGGTAACTTAAATGAAACCCTTGAACAAGAATCCAGTATTTATGTCAGGACTTCATTTTTCAGACCCCGACAACTGTTTCATGGGCTCAACCAGAGATAACTGGTATGAGGCCCTGAACACTAAACCGTACCCGAAGGCTCGAAGGGTCCTAAGTAGCTGTATAGTAGAAGGTGGGGTTTCTACAGGGGTGGTTGTCAAAATAAAACTATGGCCCCTTTTTAATGATGGGTCCCTAATATAGTACGGCACCCATTATTTAGCGTACCCAAAAAGGGACCATATTTTCACAACCACCTATATTTGGAAGTACTATTTTGGGAAGGACCTTTGGGGATAGACTTTGAAACATTTTCTCGGGCAGTGACACCTGAACCATCAGCAAGCTAGTAACAGTAGAATGATACATGCAATATTACAACAGTACGAGTCATGCAATAATAAGAATACAATAGTAACAAGAGTAGTCATGCAATAATAAGAATACAATAGTAACAAGAGTAGTAAGAAGAGAGTAGTAATTGTAACCAAGCAATTAAACAGCAGTACTATTAAGAATAATCGCGGCAGTGCAATAATCATAACAGTAATAAGATAGTACAAGTAACAGTACAATAAGAAGAGCAGTAGTACATTTTGTGTTTAACAGTAGCATAATGGTGATAACAGCGCAACAAACACAGCGGTACAACAATAATAATAAATGAATGCAGCAATAACAGTGTTCCTCGAATTGTGCTAACACGAAATGGCAACCACTTGGAGGATCATGGGACTTAGTAAGTAAGGTTATCAGTACCTTAATTGGGGTCATAAGTAGTTATAAGTATAGTTACCCTAATTATAACTCTGGTTACTAAGTCCCATGATCCAACAAGTACCCATGCGACTCCAACACCGAACTGTATGGTTAAGATCACAGGACAAGCCTGTAGATAGGGAACTACCTTGGGAAGTTTAGGCTTTTCTCCCTGGTGCTTAGCAGGGAATGGGGGAATGGATCCCTTTTGTAGCCCCTAAATAAGCCCCAATAGTAATGCCAACAACCCATTCCTTCATTCCCTACTAACTATACTGAACTTAGAACCCTGGCAAAAATTATAATTTTAGCTGTTTCTTAGGGATTATCATAACCAAAAATTAAAAATTATTTCTAAGTACCCCTAAGCTAAGAACCAGACAGTTTTTGCTCAGGTGATCCCAGGAGGAGGTATTCGGCCAAGCAAACCTAAAGGGTCCAAGTGCCAATACGATTCGGGAGTTTCCGAAAATTGGGGGTACCTTCTTTTGGGTCCTTATAATAAGAATCCTACTATTCAGGGCACTATATTAGGGTCTCCTATTTTCGGAAACTCGCATATAGTAGGTACTTAATGGATATTTGGGCCCCAAAGCACATGCCTTACTATTACCTGGACATTGTAATTTCCGCCCACGGGTTCAGCGCAACAAGGATCTAGGGTTCAGCCCTAAACCCTAAGCCAACCGACCTACCAGGACCCCCCCCACAGGCTCTTTACTAGAGCCCTTATGGTCCCTAATAGCGGAAAGGCA